CACTATTTTGGTCAAATTTGCCAGTGGAAAAAGTTACAGAAGTTCAAAGAGCAAAATACAAACTGCAAAACAGAGTGCCTTAGTTTAGACAACATCTGTAATGGCAGCTTTTACAAGTGTATCTTTTTCAGTTGTATTAATATACAAGTTCTTTAGTTTAAAATTTAAAACCTAGAAACCCTCACTTCTTGAATTGACTGTTTCTACTAGCAAAGAACAGGCTGAACTTGACCAACAGGATATGGAAGATGTTGAAGAAGTAGAAGAAGAAGAAACTGGTGAGGATGCCAACAGTAAAGGTAATGCTGTAATTCACTTGATTCGGAAGACATGTTAAATGGATTTCACTTCTCAATTTAAACTGAATGTAAATGATAAAATATTATTTTTAAATTTTGAAACCAGAAGGATATTTTGCTCATTCAAAGGGATTTTTAATGATCATTCAGTTCATGCTTGTGTCTGGTCTCATTCAAATGAGCAACAGCAGTCCAAGAAATGTTACCTATGTTAACATCAACCAGTCAGTGCTTCTGTCAGTAATCGAATGAACATTACTGCCCACTTAATTTCATAATCAGTCTGCTTCAAAATGATTCCATCAGAATTACAGTAAAACTCCAGTGGTCCGGCATCCAATGGTCCAGCACTCCTGATATTCTGGCACCATCTGCCCCAGACTTCCCCAAGTCAGCTGCTGCTGAAACTGACTAGCGGCTGACTCAGGAAAGCCGGGGGCAGAGCACCCCAGCTGCTCTGCCCCAGGCTTCCTGGAGTCAGCCGCTGGTTAGTTTCAGCAGCAGCCGACTTGGGGGAGGCTGGGGCAGGGCAGGAGCAGCTGGGGTGCTGCTGGGTTGGTCCCACAGCCCAAGGGGCGCATCCCACCCACTCCACCCCAGACCCCTTATAGTCCCCCCCCCTTCCAATAGTCTGGCATATTTGATAATCCGGCATCCCATGGGTCCTAAAGGTGCTGGATTATCGGAAGTTTACTGTAGTACAAATACCTGAAATTGGTTAAAAAATAGAAACCAGCATATACATTTCCATCTAGTTAATACAGTATTCAAATATGGATAATGAAAACACAAGTACATTAGACATGACCAATTGTTTTTAGGACATAAATGTACATGATTTGTCCAGTTAGAAAGAAGCTTCTCTACTAAGTTATCTAAAAAAA